GACACCAGTACCTCGTTATCAAATCCGTGAGTGATTTCGTGCCCTATCGTAGCTCCAAGTCCTCCGTAGTTGAGCGCTCTGTGAAATCTCTACATGTTGTTCACTTCAACGACTGTATATCTAAGGTTGAATCCAATTTTCAGCCGAAAAAAAACGGAAAACTGATATTTGAGAGAGTATTCGCACTGTTGCACTGCGACGTCGCGACATATACTATTTTCGATACTATTTTCACTTTGAATTCACCCCTTTTCAAACCAAATTCACCCTCACTTTCATCAAGTTAACCACACTTATTAGGGCGGGCAACTCATCAACCAGATCACGCCAGACATCACTGCGAGCCCCGCCCCGACGGCCACGCCTACTTGTCAGCGCGGACATAGATTTTCAAATCTTGTTTCATAACTTCTGCTTATGTGACTTTTCTTATCTTTTGCTGTTTCCCACAAACACTTTGACTGAAAACGACTGGGCATTGACACATGGCCGACTCCGCCCATTCTCTAAGTTTTGGCAATCTAGGCTCCGCCTCCTTGACCACGCCCACTTGCTTTTCGCGGAATTTTGATATTTTTTCAAAATTTTTGCATTTTAGGGCTGCTGCGTGAAGCCCCGCCCACTGTGAGAGGCTCCGCCCACTTCAAAATGGTGCAAATCGGCAGTATAGGGTCTTGGCTTTCATGCTAGGGTCTCGTTCGTCACTCGGAACAAGAAAATCAGGCAAAGTTTGTTCCGAATGATCAGCAATACCCTAGCATGCCAGCCGAGACTATACTGCCGATTTGCACCATTTTTGAAAAGTGGGGGACTTCTTCAAAGTGGGCGGAGCCTCTCACAGTGGGCGGGGCTTCACGCAGCAGCCCTAAAATGCAAAAATTTTGAAAAAATATCAAAATTCCGCGAAAAGCAAGTGGGCGTGGTCAAGGGGCGGAGCCTAGATTGCCAAACCCTTTAGAGAATGGGCGGAGTCGGCCATGTGTCAATGCCCGGTCGTTTTCAGTCAAAGTGTTTGTGGGAAACAGCAAAAGACAAGAAAAGTCACATAAGCAGAAGTTATGAAACAAGATTTGAAAATCTATGTCCGCGCTGACAAGTAGGCGTGGCCGTCGGGGCGGGGCTCGCAGTGGTGTTTGGCGTGGTCTGGTTGATGAGTTGCCCGCCTTGAAGTGTGGTTAATTTGATTTGGAAAGTGATGGTGAATTTGTTTGAAACAGGGGTGAAATTTACTACTTAAAAGGGGTGAATTGGTTTTGAAAAGTGGTGAACGAAGTGAAGAAATCGGTATATGTCGCGACGCCCAGATGGCAACAGTGCGGATACTTGGTGCAATGCCAGTTTGCGGTTTGTATTTTCTTGCGTTTGTTTTCGGATGTATTTGCTTTTTCGCAAAAAGATGTGAATATTGGTTTAAAAAGAGTTGAGTCTGGTTTGGAAAAGAATTTAGGTTAATACATGGCTAACGAACATATAAAGTAACGATCATGAAAACGCCTCAAGAAAATAGGGCGTGCAAAGCGTGCACTGGAAGCGCAGACCGCAGATGCCTGGGAGATAATCAGCCAGTGACGCTTGTTCGTCAATTTGATGCGGACAAATATAAGTAGCAGTCACAGTTTACACAAATATTCTGAGCCGCTTACAACTGGCTGCCTCCAAGCTAGCTTGCCGTTCTCCGCTGTGGTCCTATCACTTTATAGAATTATGGCTGTGACTTACGCTGTTGTTTTTCATAGAGGAGCTAGTTGAATGTAACCTGGTGATGAAAGAAAGGCGCTTTGGAGATAAGCGGCAGGAAATTCTGAAATGCGAAAGCATAAGTGGGCCTGTTTCTGAAACCCTCAGTACAGTTGAGCATTGACAACATTGATCTGCTTACTTATCGAGTTCGACCTGGAGTCGTAGTAGGCGTTGACAACTGCAGCATTGAAATCGTACTCAGTTCGATCGACGGGCTTAGAAAGGCGCTTCAAATCGTATTCTATTTCCATCGTGACAGTTTCTCCACCATCTGACTGTAACGAATCCGTTTCTTCTACGGAGAACTGAAAGTTAACGTGCAGCATCAGAAAAATCCGGCACCAATCCAGAATCAATTCGAAATACATAATGGAATGTTGCTTTTTTGCTTATGATTCTCAAGTATCCAGCCAAAAGCTTCTTTCTCATAGTCACTAACGTTGTCATAGTAGTTGTCCAGTTTCTGCTGTTGAGGATGAACTCTGGATACGCGACTTTAATCAACATCTCTTGCAATTTCCCAGAAGCAGCCTGGAACAGATGCTTAAAAGGTCTCCGAGCAATATTAGCTGTTTCCGCGAATTTCCAATGAGAAATTAGTGTAGGAGCAACTGTGTGACTTTCTTTATCGGAATGTACCCCTACACTTTACATTAGCTTTTCTTCGTGGGTTTCCTCGACGATTTCCATAATGTTAAAGATATCTCCAATTGAAATCGGGGCAATCTTCGCATATTTTGGCTCGAGTACAAGGCGGCCTGATCATGCAGTTCATTATGTGTTACACTATGCTGCGTGTATCTATGTTATGAGAAGGATGCGAGTGGCCTGTAATCTCAAAGCTAGAGCCCTCAGAAGAAAGAATAACGGCTCGTTGTAACGGAAGGATACAGAGGAAAAAAAAGGCATCACTCGCTATTCTACTTGTTAAAGATCCAGTGATGAAACGACTAACGTCGATACACTGCAGTCTGTAAAATTTTGTCTATTGAAGGGAATATAACCTTAGGGAAACCGCTCTTTTGAAGTTTGGATTGATGCTTCTATTTTTTAGTACAATGAGAAAGGGGGTCGTAGTGTCATGCTTATTTCAGGGAGCTCATACTGACAGAGCAGCTCTCCTTAACATTGTACTTCATCCTGCTGAGCACATAGTTTGTAACATTGCAACAGCGCGGCATGAGCT